GGGAGTCTGCTTCTCCCTCTGCCTCTCCCCCTGTTTGTGTGCACTTTCTCTCTCTCTCTCTCTCTCTCTGACAAATAAATAAAATCTTTTTTTTAAAAAAAGAAAAACACATGGCAGAAAATTTGGGCTATCTAGGACTAGGCAAAGAGCTCTTTGAGTTGACTTTAAAATGCTTACTCTGTGAAAGCCCATGTGAAGAGGATGAAACTTAAACTACAGATTAAAAGAAAATATTTACAAACCACTTAACTAACAAAAAAATTAGTATCCAGTGTAAAATATCAAAACTTGACAATAAAAAATACAACTAGAAAATCCAAAAAGAACTTTAAGAGATATTTTACTGACAAAAACATATAAATGGCATATAAACACACAAAAAGATACACATCATTAACTATTAAGGAAATGAAAATGAAAATTACAATGAGATATCACTATCCACCTATTAGAATGGCTAAAATAAAAAACTGATAACACCAAATGCTGGTGAAGATGCAGAGAAACTAGGTCTTTTATATATTGCTGATGGGGATGTAAAGTTGTACAGCCACTCTGGAAAATAGATTTGCAGTTCCTTATGAAATTAAATATATATTGGCCACATGGTTCAGCAACTGCATTCCAGGGAAATGAAAACATGTCCACACAAAAACTTACACACAAATGTCAATAGCAACTTATTTGTAGTAGCTGAAAACTGAAAACAACCCAAATACTTTTTTAAAGATTATTTACTTCAGAGAGAGAGAGAGAGAGAGAGAGAGAGAGAGAAAGTACATCTGCAAGTCGGAGGTGGGGTAGAGGGAGTGGGGAAGAGAATCCTCTAAGCAGAACAAAATCAAGAGTTGGGAAGTTAACCAACTGAACCACCCAGGAGCTCCCCAAATACTCTTTATGGTTAAGAATGAATGGTTAGGCAAACTGTGGTATAACTATACAATGGAATATTATTCTGCACTAAATATGAACAAATTATTGACACATGCAGCCTTCTTGATAGATCCCAAGGATATTATGCTGGGTGACAAAACTAATCTCTACAGGTTACTACATGATTCTATTATTATAACACTTTCCAAATGATGGAATTATAAAGATGAAGACCCGATTAGAACATGGGATCAGGTATACAGGGGAAAGATATGACTGCAAAGTGAAGCCATGACAGAGTTCCATTTTGGTGATGGAACGGTTCTCTGTATATTGATTGTGATAATAGTCCCATGAATATACACATGTTATAGAATTGCACAGAACTACACATACAGAAACACATTCATGTGAAAAGAGATGAAATTTAAATAAGGTTTCGATCAATTTCCTATTTTTTATATTGCATAGGTTAAAGATATTAAGACAATCTGGGTGTAGGATAGACAGGACCTCTCTAACCTACTTCCAATTAAAGTATAATTATTTCAAAATTAAAAGTTTAAAATTAAAGAAAAAAGATCAATTTGAAATGCTTTAATGTCCCTTTTTGTTGTCTGAATTGCTGGAGGCAGGACTTCCAATACTATGTTGAATAGCAGTGGTGAGAGTGGACTCCTGTCTGGTTTCCTGATCTAAGGGGAAAGGTCTCCCAGTGCTTCCCCATTGAGAATGATATTTGCCTGTGGGCTTTTCGTAGATGGCTTTTAAGAAATCGATAAAAGTTCCCTCTATCCTACACTCTGAAGGGTTTGAACAGGAATGGAAGCTGTATTTTGTCAAAAAGCTTTTCTCAGCATCTAATGAGAGGATCATATGGTTCTTTGTTTTTCTCTTGCTGATATGATGAATCCACTTGATGTTTTTACAGTGTTGAACCAGCACCCCGAAGTTTCTAGCACCATGTCCACAATCAGCCAAACTGTGGTAAGGAGCCACGGAGCACATCGAAAGATGAAAATAAAGAAATGTGGTTTATGTAAACAATGGAATATTACTCAGCCATTAGAAACAACAAATACCCACCATTTGCTTCAACGAGGATGGAACTGGAGGGTATTATGCTAGTGAAGTAAGTCAACCGAGAAAGGACAAACAGTGTATTGATCCACTTCATTTGGGGAAATATGAATAATAGTGACGGGTAATATAAGGGAAGGGAGAAGAAAATAGTGGGAAATATCAGAAAGGGACACAGAACATAAAGACTTCTAACTCTGGGAAAATGAACTAGGGTGGTGGAGAGGGGAGAGGGCGGGGGGTGGGGGTGATGGGTGACAGTGCACGGAGTGGACACTTGAACGGGATGAGCACTAGGTTGTATATTCTGTAGTATGGTAAATGAACACCAATAAAAATATTTTATAAAAACAAATAAAAAAATAAAAAAATAAATAAAACATCAATTAACAAGTGAAAAAAAAAACAAAGAAAAAAAGAAAAAAGATCACCAATAAACTATGCTAATTCTGGGTAAGTGGATTCCTTCTTCATATTTTTCTCCATTTCAAAAGGTATTCAAAGATATATTACCTTTAAAATTTATATTTCTATTAACTTTGTAATGTTAAGACAATGGAAAAAATGTTATAAACACCAAAAAATACTGGAAATAAGTGTTCTGAAATGTAAAGAGAATTTATTTCTAGGTGATAGTACTATAAATGATTTTTTTCCTCTTATTATTCCTTTTCTGTATTTTAAAGTCATTTTTGATGTATATAAATTATTTAATAGAAAAATCGTGTTAATTTTAATCAATCAAGTAAAGCTCAGCCAGAAAACATAAAAGAATAAGGAGTCACTGGAACTAACGTAAATTAATTCCCATGAAATGTGTTAAGCAAAAAGAAGTGCAAAAGTATTTATAGAACTTGTTTAAAAAAGGAGATATAAAAATGTACATATCTGCACCATTATGCAAAAATAAAAGATAAGATAACTGAAACTAAATAAAAACTAAGAGAATAGAAACTAATAAAAACTAATTGTTTCTCTATTGAGAGTAGGGGAGAGTAATGAAAATGGTAGAAAATTTACAGTGATGGGAATGGAGTAGAAGGATAAAAAAAATGATAATTCTTTGAGTATAACCATATATAATTTTAAATCTTTTTTTTTAATTTCTAAATTCTCTAAAAGATTTTGAGAGAGAGAGAGAGCACATGTGCACAGGAGCAGAGTAGAGGGCACAGAGGAGCAAAGCGGGGAGAGACTCATGCTGAGAACAGAGCTAGTCACCGGGCTCCATCTCACAACTCTGATATCACAACTTGAGCTGAAATCAAGAGTTGGGTGCTTAACCAACTGAGTGGCCCAAGTGCCCCTATAGTTTTGAATCTCAAAAATCATTTTATATTTCACATATCAAAAACTAAAATAAAATAAAGTGAACAAGGACAAGGGAAAATCCAAAAAGTTTACTGTTTTTCAAATGAACAATCTAAACATGTCAAGGAGGAAAAATGAATTAACCCAAATAATTCTTGAATAAAATATTTTTACATGCACTTCAGAATAAAGGCAAAAATAATTTCACAGTGGAATGAGTCAGCATTTCTGAGATGGTTTAATGTGCATTCCAGATGCATCCAAGGATGGAATTTACATATATCACTGTCAAAGAAAGTGCCAAAGTATATCACTATCAAAGAAAACAATCGCAGATATGAAAAGGTAGGCTAGAATGAACCCTATATTGTGGATTCAATTGAAAAGTATAATTTTGACTTCATGTTTTTTAATGTAGATATATAGATATAGAAATATATATAAAATATGAGTACGATTATATACATATATACATAAATACATATATTCATGTATATGTATCTATATATTTTCATATGCATGAATAGTATGTAGATATAAAAATTTCCTAGTTCTGTCTGCTGATGGGGCCAGAAAAAGTGACACTCCAATAGCAAAAAGCAAAATTAATACCTAGATCTTGGTTTCTAAATACCATTTCCCAATCAAATGAACCAGGGCTCCTTGGAGAAAGGCTGATTTTAAGAACTGGGGCAGGAAACATACAATATGAATGTAGAACATCTTGTGATTCTGGAAAGTAAGCAAGCACTCAGAAAGAAAAAAATCACAATGTTACCAGTTTGTCAAAGACATGAGTTGATTGACCAAATATAGAAAAACTTGAACAATGAAATCAATAAAGTAGTATTGGATTATAACCCAGACCATGAGTCTATAATGTTACAAATAAATGACTGAATACATAAATGTAGAACAAACTAACCTTCAGTGCAGAGGAATTCAAAATAATTTGTGTAGCTACTGAGCCTCCAAGAAGGTGTAACAAACTTAAATATGGGCTATGCACAGTAACTTCTTTCAAGGAAGTAGAATATAAAGATGGAAATAAAGAGTAACTTTACAGCAAGAAATCTGACAAATATTACCTCAGGCAAGTGATCAAGGTTAATATCAACACTTGACAATGATATGATGAAAGATACTTTACCTCTGGGGTTTCCTTCCAAGAACACATAAACGTAGCCTGCTCATGAGAGAAACATCGGACAAATCTTAATTTGAGGGACATTCTACAGAATATCTTACTAGTTCTCCTCAAAACTCACAAGGCCATCAAAAAAGAAATTATGAGAAACTGTCACTGTCAAGAGAAGCTTTAAGATACATAATAAATGTAATATGGCCTTTTTGGTGGAATCTTGGAAAAGACATTAGGTAAAATAAATCTGAATGAAGTATGGAATTTATTTAATATAATGTATGATTAGTTCATTGATTATAACAAATGCACCATATCATTGTTAGATGTTAATAACTGGGAAAATTGGATGAGTTGCTTATGGGGAAAGATGGATAAATGGGCAAGAGTAATGGTATGCTCTAAAACTGGGCATGGTGATGGTTGCACAATTCCATATATTAACCAAATGCAATGAACTGTACAGATTATGGGTGATTTTTATGGTAAACAATATTTCCATAAGGCTATTTAAAAATGAATTGCTTGGTATATTGCCAAAATGAGTATACTATAAATTTTTTTTAAACACTGGAAATTTTGTAGTTCTAATTACCATAGCAGGACCACACACAGTGCCATCTTGTACAAATGTATCATCTCTATCCTCAGGTGTTTCATATGTTGTCCATGTATTTTTAATGACCTTTTCTTTGCTTCGATATGTAGATACACACATTTCCTCTCGGACATGTGAGTAAATCACAGACAAATTTGCACGTGATACTAATGCCTTGTGTGGCCACGCACAGACTAATTTTCCACATAGAAGATTACTAGAAGCATAAGGAAGGAAAAAAATCATCATATTATTTACTGAAATAACATAGATTGCTGATGTACCTAAGTTTAAAAAAAAGTGTTTTACTAATAACTAGTTTTACTAAATTAACTTACTAACTTAACTCCAGTTTTCAACAATTTTCTCTCAGAAAACATTTTTGAGCACACTGATTTATGTATGATGTGACATTTTTTGTTTTGTGAGGCTATGTGCCAAGGGAAAAATTAAAATTTGAAATCTGACAGCCTGGTCTGTCTTATATTAGTTTCTGAAATTTGAGCTAGTCTTCAATTATTTCTAGCAAATTATAACTAGTCTTCAATTATTTCACTAGTAAAATAGAATAAATAATTATTACTACAAACATCATTGTTGTAAAATTATAAGCACTGAACACATATCATTTGTAGCCAATGGGTACAGCTCAGATCATAAAAAAAAAATAAATCTGTGATAAATTGTCATATATTCTAGGACCTTAGCAACATTTAACCTACATCCCAAACAAAACTACAAATTTCTAAATACATACCTAAAACTACAAAAGTCTCGGCCACAGTTTCCATATCTATCTGCTCTTGAATTTATTTCATCATAACAAGCAAATGAACCACCTCTAGAAGCTAAAAGAAAAAAAAACTTAAGTAAATTAAAGTACATAATTCCAATAATCATTGTAGAAATAATAAGCTGATTTTGGAAATTATAATGAGATACTTAAGGAGGTTTATAATTAATTAGAATTAAAAAGTTGCTGAGGTAGATCTAGGATTAAAAAGAGAGCTTCTCATTTTAAGCTTGGTAAACTTTGTTTCATATCAAACAGAAAATAAACAGCAACATTATTCATATGGCATTATATTATTAGAAATATAATAATTGGAAGTATTGTCCTCTCTTTGCCCTCTGAATTGTTTTTCTTCCTTAGCTGACTACCCAATGTGAAAATATAGTTTGTGTTAGTCCAAACAAAACGGGAGCAAAAGAGTATCTATGATTCAATACTGATAAGAAACTCAAGGAGTATTTTTCTGAACTCTTCTTCAACACTAAAGTCCTCATTTCTGTTCCCTTGTATCCTAACAATCACACACACACAAAAATTAAGGGGGTCCAGTCTGAAATGGCCACTTAGGAAGGCCCTGAACTTCCCTCCTTGCTCACTCCAAATCTATACCTATTTATAAATTCTTCCTAAAAAGCTAAGTACTTACTAAATGGCTTCTGCACAATGAAAAGACAGAAAGACCACACAGAGAACTGCAACAGAGATGGAGACCATGTAACAGAGGAAACCCTCACCCCTGATGTTACAGTGGGAAGGGATAGGGACCATGAGCAGATTCATCTGCCCTGAATCATAGGGGAAAAAAAGTTGCAGTTTAAAAGAGCAACTAGAATTTAAGAGATCCAGCCCTAGAACTCCAAATGCTGGGAGTGCTGCTGGTACTCTACAGGTCAGAGTGGCTGCTGAACACCACAGTTTACATATGCCCTCCACCTTGATAGCAGAGACAAGGGCAGGGTCCTGATGCTACAGCTAGTCAGCTGCTTCAGTGAACCCTGGGTTCCTAGCCCGTACCAGCCCAGGACACCGTGAGCACAGAAAAAAAAAAAAAGCCATGGTTTAAAAGAGCAACTAGAATATAAAAGAATGAGGAAGGAGGAAAATGGTAGAAGAGTAAGGGTATTGATTCATCTGGTCCCCCAAACTTACTTAGGTAACTTTCAAAACATCCTCAACACCTACAAATTCAACTTGAGATGTAAACAGAGAACAGCTGGAATGCTACAGAGAGAAAAGTGATAGCTTCTGACAAGGTAGGAAGGTGGAGAAAAGGAAGATAAATGGGGGTGGAGGAGGGAGCCATGGAAAGCTGCTGTAGGAAAGCAGGGCAGCAGAATATCAGGAACTTTAATACCTCAAAGAGTCTTCCCTGACTGAGTGCTCAGTGGGAAAACAGGTCAGAATCACAGGAGAGCCAGAGAAGCCTCAATATTCCCGGAGACACAATAAGAATAGGGGCAACCAGGAGAATGCTCACTGCAAATTGTGGTCCAATCTTGGTAAAAGACTGGAATGCTGCAACCCTCCAGGGCATCTGGGAGAAGCCAGCCAGGTGTGTGTCCAACACCGGAGTTATCTTTACCTAGAGCCTGGCACAGAGGGATGCAGGCTGTCTTCCGGTTCCCTTCAGCAGAGGCAGACCCCGTGGGGACAAAAGACAGTGAAAACTCTCCTGCCACTGGGCACCCTTCAATTTGTACAAAGCAGTGCTCCCATGCCTGCCCCCAGGAAGATCTGAGCCAGTGTGCACTGAGAGACTGTGGTTCAGTACACGTGATGGTGTCCAGCCCCAGAGCCAAGAGCTCCCCCGTGTACTGAACTGCAATCTCTCAGTGCACACTGGCCTAGATCCTCCTGGGGGCAGGCAGGGGGTACTGATTTGTACAAATTGAATGCCACCTACTGGTGGGAGAGCTTTCACTGTCTTCTGCCCTCCCAGGTTCCGCCTCTCCCAGAGGGGACAGAGGATAGCCCACTCCTGTATGCTGCTGGACTCTCAGGGCAGAGAGAGCTCAGCTGCTGGACTTCAAAACTAGTCTGCCTCTCCCAGATGCCCTCGGGGGGTTGTTGCCTTCTAGCCATTTGCCAGGACCTAGGAGGCTTAAGTCCCACAATTGGACCATGGTTTGCTAGTGAGCTTTCTGCCTGACGCCCCTAGTGAGCTTACTCCCTGGCGCCCCTATTCATACTTTGTCTCTGGGAATATTGAGACTGCACTGCCCCTCCTGCAAGTCTGCCCTATTTCCCCACTGTGCAGTTTTCAGGCAGGGAAGACTCTCTCAGGAGCAGATTTCCAAAGTTCCTGATTATGCCCTGCACTGCTGCCTTGCAGTTGCTTACTGAGGCTCCCTCCCCTTGCCATTTATCTTCTGATATATCCCCTCAGTTTCTTTTCAGACTCCTACCTTGTAGGAAGTGATCACTTTTCTCTCTGTAGCATCCCACCTGCTGTCTCTTTACATCTCAAGTTGAATTCATAGGTGTTCAGGATGGTTTGAAAACTATCTAGATAAATTTGGGGGACCAAATGAAATGAGGACCCTTATTCTTCTGACATGCTTCTTGCCATCTTGCCTCTCCCAATCACATATTACCCTTTTGTCATTAATAATTTTACCTTAAATACTATTCTCACTGATTTATATTGCTATACCAACTTGATCTTTGAAATTTAGACTTGCCTAGTATATGTTTTTTTCATCCCTTATTCTCAATCTTTGTTTTTAGTTGATGTCTTATAAACAGCCTTCATATGGGACACAATAATGGAGTTTGCTATGCATGTATGTTTAACATATGATGGTGATACAGGAGAGCTAGGTTCTTATCTCATGGAGTCAAAGAATGAATATCATGGGCAATGGAGAGTGAGTAAAGCGATAGAAGTTTATTAAGCAAAGATAACAGGGAAAGCTCTCAGGAGAGAGAGGGGTCCTGAAAGGGTTGCCACTGAAGGCTTTTTGGCAGGCCTTTTATTGAGAACCTAACCAGTGAGCCCATGGTCTTGAGATTTTTTTGTGCTTTCTTGAGTGATTGGCATATGGCTGACTTTGGGTCTGGTGAGTTTATGTGACTACTTGGCAAGCATCACAGGGAGATATTTTTTAACTCTGCTCACTCATACAGCCATTCTGCACTGGAAAAAATGACTAAAATAATTCACCACAAAAGAAAGAACCAGAAGTAATACTCTGCCACAGACCTACTTGATATGGATTTAAGTAGCATGTCAGAGATACAATTCAGAAGTACAATTATAAAACTATTGGTAGCTCTGGAAAAAAGTATAAAAGACTCTAGAAATTCTCTTACTGCAGAACTGAACTCTAATCAGGCCAAAATTAAAAATACTTTAAGATGCAATCTAAACTGGATTCTATTACTGTTAGGGTTAATGAGGTGGAAGAGAGAGTGAGTGACATAGAAAATAAATTGATAATAAGAAAGCTGAGGAAAAAAGAGAAAAACAAGAACCCATGAGGAACGGCTTTGGAAAATAAATGATAGCTTGAGAAGGAAGAATATATGTCTAATTGGGATTCCAGAAGATGGGGGGAGAAAGAGAGAGAGAGAGACAGAGACAGAGACAACCACAAAATATATATGAACAAATCATTGCTAGGAACTTCCTTCATATGGGGAAGGAAACAGGTATTCATATCCAAGACATAGAGAGGATACCCATCCCAAAATCAACAAAAAAATGACCAACACCGCAACATATAATAGTGATGCTTGCAAATTTCAAAGATTAAAGAGAAAAATCTAAAAGCAGCTGAAGGCAAGAAATTCTTAACTTATATGGGGAGAAATACCAGATGAACAGCAGACCTCTCCACAGAGATCTGGCAGGCCAGAAAGGGCTGGCATGATATATTCAGAGTATTAAATGAGAAAAACATACATCCAAGAACAGTTTATCCAGCAAGGCTGTCATTCAGAATAGAAAGAGAGATGAAGACCTTCCAAGATAGAAACAATATAATCCTCTCTCAAAAAAATTGGAAAAAAACTCAATATACAAGCTAACCATGCAACTAAGGGAACTGTAGGAAGAACAGCAAACAAAGCCAAAACCAAGCAGAAGACAGATAATAAAGATTTGAGCAGAGATCAATAAAGTGGAGACCAAAAGAACTGTAAAACAGATCAACAAAACCAGAAGATGGTTCTTTGAAAGAATTAATAAGATAGATAAATCCCTAGCCAGCCTTACTAAAAAGAAAAAAAAGACTCGAATTAATAAAATCACAAACAAAAGAAAGATCACAATCAATACCAAGGAAATACAAAGGATTTTACAAATGTATTATAGGCAACTATATGCCAACAAATTAGGCAGTTGGAAGAAATGGATGCATTCCTGGGAAACCTATAAGTTACCAAAATGGAAATAGAAAATCTGAACAGATCAATAACTGGTAAGAAAATTGAAGCAGTCATCAAAAACCCCCTAAGACACAAAAGTCCAGGGCCAGATGGCTTCCCAGGAGAATTCTACCAAACATTTAAGGAAGAAATAATAAATATTCTACTAAAGCTATTTCAAAAGAGAGAAGTGGAGGTAATACTCCCAAACTCATTCTATGAGGCCAGCATTACCTTGATCCCAAAACCAGACACCCCACCGTAAGACACCCATTCATAAAGGAGAATTACAGATGAAGATCCCTGATGAACATGTATGCAAAAATTCTCACTAAGGATTCAACAATACATGAGAGGATTATTCACCAGGACCAAGTGGAATTTATTGCTGGGATGGAAAGGTGATTCAAAATTCATTAAACAATCAATGTGATAGATCACATTAATAAAAGAAAAGACAAGAATCATATGGCCCTCTCAATAGTTGCAGAGAACTCGTCTGACAAAATACAGCATCCATTCCTGATTAAAACTCTTCAAAGTGTAGAGATAGAGGGAACATATCTCAATATCATAAAAGCCATATTTGAAAAGCCCACAGCAAACATCATTCTCAATGGGGAAAAACTGAAGGCTTTTCCCCTAAGTTCAGGACATGGTGGGGATGTCCACTCTCACCACTGTTAT